CCCTCGGAAGCCCGAGGAGCACCGAAGGCGAACTGCACAGCGGTGAAGGAGCACTGAGACCCTCCCACACGACAAGGAGTTCCTTCTTCGGCGCCCCGACTGCACTGTCGTGCGCCCCTCGGTGCACACTGTCAGTAGGGGGCCAGATGCGAACCCTACCCCTACCCCCCACGATTTCTGAGGGGGAGGGTGGGGTTCACCTCGCTCGGGAGCTCCCCCTCCCCCTCAGAAATCGTGGGGGGTAGGGGTAGGGTTCGCCTCTGGCCCCCTAGTCAGGCCACTCGCCACGGATCGTGAGCGCACCACTCGCGACAACCCACGGATCACAGCAGCTGCCGTCCACGGCCCGAGGCGCACAAGCCACAAGACCTCGACGCGCGAGGTCCTGTCGGGTCGGCCGTGCCGGCCTCGGGGCCCCGTGCCCCCCCTCGGCGCAGCACCCTCCGAATTTTACTGAAGGGGCCCTGGGACACACAAATAAATACACACAAATAAAAATATCCCCAATATTTTCCCATATTTTCAGGGTTTTTGTCTACCCCCCCACTTCCTATATTTTCCTATATTTTCCTGGCAGTGGACGATTAATTGTGTCTGTGTGTTTTTTCTCCTCCTGATTTACATTGGTGCTGGGCCACTGGCCCTGGCATGCGCACTCCCTGCCCGCCCCCTGGAAGACGACGCCAGGGCGGGGAGAAATCCGGGCGGGGCTCCGTCGAGAAGCCCTGAGAGCCGGCGGCTCTGGAAGATGCCTCGGGTGCCGCTGCCTTCTCAGAGCGTTCCGGAGGGCTCTGGGAGCGTTGCGGAACGCTCTGGAAAGGATTCATCCTCGCGGTACAGTCGGGCCGCTGAAATCAGTAACGCCAAGCAAGGAACAACGCCCCTTTTTGGCACCAGGAGCGGCTGCATGCACGAGGAGGGCTGGAGGAACAGCCATGGAAGGCCCTAGGGAACCTCGAGCCCCCTCCGAACCCAAACTCTTCCTCCTTTCAGCGACTTGACTGTAGCCCCGTCCGACCCATCCCTGCCCCCTCAGGGGGCAGGGATGGGTCGAGGCCCCGAAGCACTGACACTGGCAAGCGAAGTCGAGGCCCCGGCAAACCCGACAGGCGCGATAAGCCCCCTCGAATGGCGGGCGAACCAATAGGTCGCAAAAGTAAGTTTGGAATTTGGGGATCCGCGCAAGAAGCTAACCCACTCGCCCAAAGTGTAGTTTTGCGCCTGTCCGACCCTGGCCCTCCCCTCCCACCCTCTCATACCTTCCGACCTCAGCCCAAAACGGCCGAGAAGCCCCCGCCATGACCTTGGCCGCCGCGCGAGGACGCCAGGCACCTCTGGCCGCACCCGGGGCTCACCACTGCAGGAGCCGGCCGCTAAAAACTCGGAGGTCCGCGCGGATTTCTCGGATCGGCCCTGGACCCCCCCTCCCTGGCGCGCGGAGCGCGCCAGGGGCGGCGCCGGAGGCGCCGCCAGGGGGCTTCGGCGCGGATCCGAGAAATCCGCGCGGACCTCCGAGTTTTTATGTTTATGCCACTTTCTGTTCCCCTAACCATCGTCCTGGTGCCCCAGCGGGCGGCCATACTAAGGAGCCGAAGTCTATACACCGACGCCTTTGTCTGCCCTCACACTGAATCTCGCACAAGAAAACGGATCCTGGTGTGTACGGGATCCTGGTGTATATACTCTTCGTTGTTCCCATCGTACTTCAGGACCACATCCAAGAAATACTTTCGAGCACCCGGAAAAGTGTCGAAGGAGTGTCGAAACAGTGTCGGATGAGTGTCTCCCAGGGCCCGACACGTGAAAACCCTCGAGTTTCGGTACATATTTCTGGTGCTCGAAACTCTTTCTTGTGATCCAGACTAAAGAAGGTTGGGACATCATGAGTCAAAAGACGAATCCAGGATCTGCCCCGGAATTCGCCCTGGCTGAAGCTTTGAAAGATCCCGCCGAGGCGACGAGGAGCCTCCAACCTCCCGTCCAACAGGGCGGCCGAGGCAAGGACCAGGAGATGAGTTCCAGCTCCTCCACCTCCCCCTCCCCCTCCTCCTCCTCCTCCTCCTCCTCCTCCTCCTCCTCCTCCTCTCCTCTCCCTTCCTCCTCCCTCCTCCTCCTCCTCCTCTCCTCCTTCCTCACCCTCCTACATCCCCCTCCTCCTCCTCCTCCTCCTCCATTTCTCCTCCTCGTTTGTGTGTTCTTTCTCCTTCCTCCTTTGCCCAGCTCCTTCCTCATCCGTCCTCCTACTCCTCATCCTCTATTCCCACTCCTCCTTCTCCTCCTTCTCCTACCTCATCCTCATCTCCTCACCCTCCTCACCTTCCTCCCCCTCCTCCTCCTCCTCCTCCTCCTCCTCCTCCTCCTCCTCCTCCTCCTCCTCCTCTTTTCGCGCGAGGCCAAGAGAGACCTTCGGTGCGCGGCCTTCGGGGGGGAGGAGCGCGAGGTCCGAGCTGGAGCGCGCCGCGCCTCGCCCTCGGCGCCCTCTCCGGGGGCCCCGGCGGGCCCGCACCGGGGGGGCCCTCCCGCGGAAGGGAGGTGGGCCGCGGGGAGCCTTTAGGCGGCGAGCCACGGAGGGGGAAGTGAGAAGGGGCGTGCCTTCTCAGAAGGCTCGGAAGTCCCCCGGACTTCTGAGAAGTTGTCTAAGCCCTCACCGAAGACAGAAACAACTTCTCAGAAGGCGTGAGGGCTTCTGAGAAGTCCCGTCGCCTTCTGAGAAGGCGTTCTCCTTCTCAACTCCCCCCCTCGCTCGCCGCCGAGTCTTTAGCGTTGTGGATGCCATGACAATGGACACCCTAACAGTCCGATCATTGTACTGAAAATTAAGGGGACGTCCTCTATACACCGACGCTTTTTCCGACCCTGCACTGAAATTCGCACGCGAGCGCGGATCCCGGTGTATACGGGAGCCTGGTGTACACATGTTTCATCGTTTCCCGTGGAAAACGGGGGACAGGTATACACCACACCACCCCGACGTCGTCCCCGACCCTCAAAAAGTCGTGGGATTGAACAAACAGACCGCCACTGGTAATGCAGATGTTCCAGTTTCCGAAAAATGTTATGTGTTTAACATATAGAATACTTGCTTGAAACATTGTTTAGACATCTGGAAATTATTTAGCAGCACGCATCCTCTCCATTGATCGACTTCCCTAACTTTAGAGCCGCCCCCAAGAGGTGGTAACAAAATATTCCGGCCCGGTTCACCGCCAAGTGAAAAGGGGGGCAAAGCTACCTCCTGAGGTGACCTACAGCCAGCGAGAGCACTCAACGCCGAGCCGCGATCGGCGCTTATAGAAGAAGAGTAACGGCACATATATATATATATATATATATATATATATAACTGTTGGCGCTCTGTGCGGATTTTTTGGATCTGCGCTGAACCCCCCCTGGCGCGCGGAGCGCGCCGGGGCGGCGCCAGAGGCGCCGCCGGGGGGACCCAGCGCAGACCCGCCGAACAAACAACACATAAATGAAATAAAACTCGGATGTCCACGCGCCTCCGGCGCCGCCCCTGGCGCGCTCCGCGCGCCAGGAAGGGGGGTCCAGCGCCGATCCGAGAAATCCGCGCGGACCTCTGATTTTTTACGTTTATGTCAGTGTTCGTCCCCCTAATCATTGCTCTCCTCCTTCCTGGGGGAGGGGAGCGGAGAAGCGAGGCGGATCTGTAGAGCTGTCCTCCTCCGAGAGTGACACTCGGGCCCGCAGCTTGACAGGCGGAACGCGTCATGCTCCTGGCCCCGGCCGCAGAGCCCTTGACGCTACGCCATCGGCCCCCAACGGAAGTGCCCCGTGCCGTGCGAACAGACCCAAAGGGAGAGAGAGAGAGAGAGAGAGGAAACAAAAAGAAAACACGTATGGAAAGACATCTATGAGGGGAGAAAGCAAGAGAGAAAGCGAAAGAGAGAGAGAGCGAACACAAACAGAGAAAGAGAGAGAGAGGGGGTGAGTAAGAGCGAGGGAGGGAACACAGAAAGAGAAAGAGAGAGAGAGGGGGGGGAGTAAGAGTGAGAGAGAGAGAGAGAGTGTCAGCGAGAGAGATGGAGGTAGAGGGGGGGGATCCGAAAACCTGAGAGACGCAAGCCCCAGTCAGGCCCGAGGCCACTGGAGGCAGCAGGAGACGAAGGAGGGAGGGACGGAGAAAGAGAAAAAGTATGGACTGCCACCGCCCACCGCTCACCGCGAGCGCGACAGCGTCGACCTTACCCTCCATGACCAGCTCGGCGGCCTCCAGAAAGGGGAAGGGAGGAGGAGCAGGACGAGGAAGAGGGGGCTGGGGCAGGAGAAGAGAATGAGTGAGGAGACGGAAGGGGAGACGGATGAGAAGGGGACTGATGACAGAAGGCCAGAAGGGAGAGAGGGATAACGATGAAAACGGGGGCGGGGGACACTGGGAGATGGAACGAGCAAAGATGAGATGGAGGAGGCGAAGGAGGAGGTTCAGGAGGGATCGGGGCGAAGGAGAGGAGAGGGAAGAGGGGCGAGGGATGGGGAAGAAGGGGAAGGTGCAGGCTGGGGATGAGGGTTAGAAATGGCAGAAGGAGGACTCAGGGGCGGACACAGATGGGGGGAAAAGGGGGAGGAGGAGAAGGAGGAGGAGGAGGAGGAGGAGGACGACGACGACGACAACGAGAAGGAGGAGGAGGGGAGGAGGAGGAGGAGGAGGAGGAGGAGGCGGAGGAGGAGGAGGACGACGACAACGAGAAGGACGAGGGGAGGAGGAGGAGGAGGAGGAGGAGGAGAAGGAGGAGGAGAAGGAGAAGGAGGAGGAGGAGAATGAGGAGGAGGAGGATGAGGATGGGAGAAGGAGGCGGAGGAGGAGGAGGAGGAGGGGAGAGAAAGGAGAAGGAGGAGGAGGACGACGACGGCGATCTGTTCGAGTGGAGGGAGCGCATGGGCACGGACATCCCGTCGACCAAGCAGCCCGGCAGGGCAGGACCAGACCTCTGAGCTTGCGCACAGACCCTCGCGAATCAAGGCACGCATAGGAATCCAGGAAGTGGGCAGCATGATTGCAAAATGCGGTCAAGGAAGGGGGCCGGCCAGAGAGGGGCGAGGTGACCGAGGGGCGGAAACTCTGGCAATGACGCACCGTGCGGCCAAGGGAGGATATTGAGCCCGGGTCGAGGGTTCACAGCCCCCCCCACACCAGACAGGATGGGCCCCGTGGCTCCACCCCCCCCCCCTATAGGATGGGAAGGGGGAGACGACGACGACGACGACGACGACGACGACGACGACGACGACGACGACGTTGACGACGACGACGACGACGACGAGGAGGTGGAGGAGGAGGAGGAGGAGGAGGAGGAGGAGGAGGAGGAGGAGGACGACGGCACCGCAGCACCACCCCACACCCAACGGGGGAGGGGCGGGGACACCAGCACCCCGCCCACACCACGCCACGCCCACAGGGCCACGGCCACAGGGTGGGGCCGGGGAAAGCGATCCCATTCGCGAGGTCTTCGCGATGCTCACAGGCGTACTCCAGATTTCGTAATAAAGGGAGGGGTGTCTCATTTCGGGGGGGGTCTCTTCCAGGCTATCTTGGAGGGCCTGGGGGGGTCTGGGGACGATGTTTTGGAGGGTTCTCCCACGGGGGGGGGTCTGAAATGGTTTGTCTTGGAGGGTCCAGACCCCCTCCCTTTTATTACGAAATCTGGAGTACCCATCCAGCCATCCAGTGTGGGGGGGTCGATCCCCTTAGCATTGCGTGGGGGGAGGGGGGGGCAAACCCTGGATCATGCATCCTCGAACGGCGGGTGCTCTGATATCCACCTCGTCGGCCACGGACCTCTGATATCCACCTCGTCGCCCACGGACTCATTTCTGCCGCAGCGTGCATCAGGGCATGGGGAGCAGAAAAAGGAGTTCGTGGAGAGGAGGACGCGAAGGAGGGACGGGCATCGTGTGCGAACTGGAGGGGACCCCGTCGAGATTGATCGGAGGTGGAACGCGGGAGGACACGAGACCCTTCCGAGAGCCATGTGGCCATAGGAATGCAGAAGCCATGAACTGCTAACCGCAGGACACATGGGCACCTTGATTCGGCAACGTCGAGCTACTAATCAAACCCCACTATATCCGCCACCGTGCTGGGAGGCGCGAAGTGGAGTTCGCTCCAGGTCCTCATGTGCCCTCTGTTCTCGGCACTCGGGCCTCCAGGATTATAGCATTCTGAGGGCTGGGGCTTCCTGGGCGTTCCCACGCGTTCCCATGCTGCCCCGCATGACTTTTCCAGAGGCCAGAAGGCCCCAAGACGGGCCAAGAGGGCCCGAGGAAGCGCCCAAGAGGGTCCAAGAGGCCTACAAGACAGCCCAAGAGAGCTCCTAGACGCCCTAGATGGCCCCTAGACGGCCCAAGAGGCCCCAAAGAAGGCCCAAGAGCTCTCCAAGAGGACCCCCAAGAGGGCCCAAAGAAGCAAAACATCAGTAGTTGTCTGTTTGTGTTTTCTATGTTTTTAGAGCTCTGGCGTTTTCGGGCTTCCGACGCTTCAAGATGGCCCTAAAGGCACCCAAGACCGCCGCGAGACGGCCCAAGAGGACCCCAAGAGGGCCCCAAGACGGTCCCAGAGGGCCCCAAAACGACCCAAGAGACGCCCAGGATGGCCCAAAAGGGCCCCAAGAGGGGCCCAAAAGGGGGAACACGAACCGACAATACGAGCCTTCCGCCCCAAGCGGCCCCCAGGAGGCCCCCAGGAGGCCCTCAAGAGAGCCCAAGAGAGAGGCCCCCCAGAGAGCCCCACGAGGCCACCAAGAGGCCCCCAAGAGGATTCAAAACTGCCTCCAAGAGGCCCCCGAAAGGCGCGAGGGGTTGAATCCCCGGCAGGACAGTTGAATCCACTGAAATTCGAGCGAATCCCTGGAAGCCGTCCGGGGATTCAACACTTGAGGGTTGTGCGCGCGTCACCCCTTACAATATGCGCTACTAGCAGGTGGAGGATCTCAAGCCGAAAATCCCTTGCGTTACTTGTGAGAAAACGCAGGGGTTCCGGGGGCAGCTTCATCCAGGCATTCCCTCGCTCGGGAACCTACATCGCCATCATGGTGATCGCAGTATAACGTAGCAGCGGGGAAGGTCGATCACCATCACCCCCTTTCCTGCTCAACCAACTTCATCCTCAATCATTCGCAATCGTACGAATCGTAATCGTAGTAATGCGCACGGTAGCCCTGGCAATACGAGGCGACTATAGTAGCAATCGTAGAAACAACGTCGTCATCGTTGTCGTAGCCGTCGCAGGAGTGGTAGTAGTAGTAGTAGTAGTAGTAGTAGTAGTAGTAGTAGTAGTAGTAGTAGTAGTAGTAGTAGTAGTAAGTAGTAGTAGTAGCAGCAGTAGTAGCAGTAGTAGCAGTAGTAGCAGTAGTAGCAGTAGTAGTAGTAGTAGTAGTAGAAGTAGTAGTAGTAGTAGTAGTAGTATCATTAGTAGTAGTAGTAGTAGTAGTAGTCGTAGTAGTAGTCGTAGTAGTAGTCGTAGTAGTAGTAGTAGTCGTAGTAGTA